AAAACAATTAACTTTCTAGGTCTACAGTGTGCTTCAACTAAACCCCAGAGCATGCAAATCACACTACCTATGAACTTTGAACTGAATCAAACTCAAAGCCAACAGAAGAACAATTTTAGTCCTAACTTGGCAGTGACAAGGCAGGTCATAGAAATTAGTAAATACTACAGTACACAACTTTCTTTTAGCAAGGATATCCTCTCTGAAGCAGGAACTCAGTTGAGTAAAAACTCAAAGCAATCATTATGGGTGAGTCAGAAAGAGGGTTGCTCTGTAAGAGGACTGCATGCTGAATTAAATGACAGCTGCAAAAGCAGCCACCTTCAAAACCTGCCTTGACTGTCTCTTTAGAAATTCTGTTGTGGTAGTGAAAGGCCATGTACAAACCAGTGAGATGGAGTGGGGCAGGAGAAAAGATGTGGAATAAAACACAGAGTAAGTTAAAGACCAGACTTGCACTGCAGCCTTCTTTAAATGCTCCCAAGACTAGGTGGATGAGGTGAAGCTTCAATGCATGCCTAAAAAAACAGTTGTAGGAAGAAGACTGCAGATTCTTTAGAAACTGCAGTATCATGGAGTAGTGGGAATCCATAAAATACTCTATTCGTAAAGAGAAAAAAAGGCAAAAATATGCTGGTATTTAAGAGATTTTAGGAGAGTTTTAAGCAACATAGAAGGTGAGGAAACATCAGATGGATAAGAGCACATTCTCTCACTTCCATTAGGAAAGGAAACACAGAAACTATACCTAATATGATAGTGCACAAGTTTTCAAAATTCAATTGAGTAATCATCATAAGTCAGATAAGTGCAGTCTGACTCACAAACACCCATATTCAAAAAACTCTAAACATTTATACACAGCTTGGCATAAATGCCAGCAGCACAAGATGTAAAGCCCAAATGTCTGCTTTTAATCACAGACAGTGACAAAACAGACATACCAGAAATATGATGGAAGTAAGATAAAAAAGATACTGATACAAAATGTATAGAAGAGTCATAGAAATAGATATCAACATATAAAATCATCCAATCAAACACAGATTGAATTTCTAAACCTAGCAAGGTAAACTCTGTTATTAGATGATATTGGTACTCACACCATTAAGGCGGATATGTATAGCCACAGCTATGACATCTGAGACGTCTAAGGCCAGCAATGTAACTGTGATGACGGACAGCAGTCATGAGTACGTTGGATAAATGTCACACTGCAGAGGCCAAGATCACTTTTTTAATATATTCTTATTCATGCAACTGATCAGGGCCATCTCAACTCTGGCTGTGGTCCCCCCAACTGTACACAGCCTGACCCAAAATGCTACTTTCAAACAGCGATTTTTCTTAATGTTGACTTTTATTTCTGCATTTATTTCCCTTTTATTTCTATTGACCAAGTTCATTAAAAAAGACAGAAGTCCACTACCATAGACTTCCATAAAAAAGAAGCAACATATAGTAAGAAAATATTAAAATTAAGCCAAAAAGACGAGTCAAAATTAAGATGCAACCCAGTGACAACACTAAGATTGAATGTACTGAACTTCAGTACAACAATTTTAAATACACACATCAAATTAAACTTATTTTTGTGGAAAGGGGGAATCCTAGCATTTAAACATCAACCTTTGTAAAACCAGCTGTCTAACTTTAGGAGTCAAATGGAATCAGTCACTGAATGTAACATTTACAGCCAAACAGAGTGCAGAGGAATAATCTGCTAAAGTGCTTTGGCATCTCAGGAACAGGAACTGTGCCTGAAGAAGGCAAGTAGATGATCAAAGTAAAAAGCAAAGTGTTCAGGGAAGAAAAACCCACTGAGGAAGAAAATCCCCAGACTCTAAACAAATGGTCAGTTTTTGGTACCATGCAGGAACTCAAGGAGAACTTCTACAGGCACCTTGTTGAAGGTTTTACTCCTTCCTTTACACTGGGAGAGGTTACAGAGGAAAGAGTGACAAAGGGGAAAGATGGGGCTTTCACTCCCCAATTCTAAAAGAAACCAAGTAACTGCAGTGTGAAACTTCTGAGTGAAACCTGCCTCAAGTGACCGGAAGCTGGCAAACATTACAGCAAGTTCTTGTGATTTTAGTGGGTAGAAGGAATCACTTGTTTTTTAAGTAGTGATTCCTGAGGGATCCAGGGAATTAAAGCCTGAACATATTTTTCTGTACATAGCAAAGTGCCACAAATTGTTCTAAAGCCAAAAAAGCAACAGGATAAACATACAGAGTTGCTTTTGCAAAGGAAAGTCATGTTTGATAAACATTTTAAGAGTTCTTCTAAAGAAGAACTTAAAAGAGATGAGAGTATGGGCATCTAATAATAGTGTATACTTGAAATTCTAAAAGGCATCTGACACATTCTCTTGCCAAAAACTATTAAAGATGCTGTGCTGCCAAAATAAGTTGTCCTATCAGTACATTGTTTAAAGATAGAAGACAAAGGGTATGAATCAGCAGGTGTTCTCCCCTAAGGATGTGCAGTGCCAATGAAACTCCACAGTTCCTCTGTTGGGGCAGGCAAAGTACAACCTATTTCTAAGAGTTCTGAGACAGCAGTTTCTGAATGCCACAGTGTATTCCAGTAACACTAAGTTAGTCAAAGTAATAAAGGGATAAAGGAATTTAAAAAATGCAGAACCATTTCACTGAGGAAACAGGTGCTAAAACCAGCAAACCAAACTCACTGTAGATATTTGAGAACAATTCATGCTGAAAAAAATATAAAAATTCTGACTTTTGTACATATATATTGAAATGAACTCCAAATTGACCATTAATTATTTGGGACTGGATTATTTTTCTGAAAATATAAGTGTAAAGGTTAGGAAAAAGCAAAACACCAAAGCATCATTTTTGGAAACAATATAAACAAAACATAAAACAATTTAATTTTTTAAAATAGATTCACAGTGAATTTTGCAAGAAGTTCTACCTGGTGCTCCTTCTTTGAGAAACTGGAAGAGTAAAGCAAAGTTCAACAAAGACAATTTAAGATACAAAAGAGCTCTCCAGCAACAAGCAATTAAAAGAAATACGAGTCTACAGTATGAAACAAAAACAACTAAGGCAGACAGGATAAGATAGAGGTCTACAAATTTAAAAGCAAAACAGAGAGAGCACCAGAGGGCTGTTTTTAATGCCTGCAGGCCTCAACCAAAGCTACCCATTGGTGGGTTCAAATATCCCAGTCATAAACTGCTGGAGGTACCAGAGTCTTCTAAGGAGACACACACCTGATCTGTTACCTACCCTGCACATTCCCTGCTTCCCTGTCCGAGACACCACACCAGGCCAGACAGAACCAGGATTATGTTAACCACTTTTCTGTTCTAATTTACCACTTCGAAGAAAAGGGGGCAAAAGCTTTTTAGAAGTATGATTTAAAGCTACCAACCCTTCAGTCTGGCCCTACGGCAACAGCAATAAAAACATAGTATGTACTAGAACTTTTTAAAGAAATTACTCTGTGACATGCTGAGATTCTTCTGACAGCATTATTTCAGGTTTTAATTGCAAATGTAAACTAAAAATTCCATTGCTAATAACTTATTTAACAGCTCCCTGACCCAAAAAAACCAAACCAAACCAACAAAAAAAAAACAACAACAAAAAAAAATGGATAATAATAATTTGGGTCAGAACTTAGTAAAAGAGAATTATTTCTCATTTCTTAGGTTTGGCCTTTGCTCAAGACAGGTCACACAGGGTTTTTTTATAAAATACCAAGGATGGGTATGGGCAGCAGCCAAGTCACTGACATATTCCACATGACTAGTGAAAATGTACTAGCTGTCCTTCCTCACCTTCAGTGCCCTTGGAAAAAATTCACATCATCTCTGGCCAACTCCTTCTATCAAGGAAAAAGATAATTAGCAATTATATTATTAGTGCCAAGACACATATGACACATAACAGTGATAACAGGAAGATAAGGACTCCTGGAAGGATTACCTCTAGTGGTATTTTATATTCCCAAGTGAGTAGCACAACCAACTGTAAAATCTCCTGATCAGACAAGTACTCCTTGTATTATTTCTCAATACATACCTGCAAGAAGCTTGAACATACATTGTTGTCTGGCACAAAGACAAATTTTCTCAGCTGCACAAATGAAGAAAAACTTTAAAGACTCAGTTATCATCAGCAAGATCTCTTCTTTCTGTATTGTGGTGTGTGCCAAGATGGAAAGTAATTTCAAAAGCTGAATCAACATCTGGATTATGATGCAATGAACACTAGAGCTAAGAAGTGAAGGTCGTGAATCACATTCATAGTTTTCTTCAGAGATAATAAAAACATCAATTATCAAAAATTATTTGAGCTCAATAGAAAAGCCTGAGGTCAAACATTTGGTAAGTTTTCAGCAAGACAGGAACACTCAGAATCATTTACAGCAGAATAATTACTCTGCTTCAAAAGTTGCTTTGAATAAAATAAATGGCTATTTTATTGACTATACATACATATGAGAGAGCATAACTTAACAGCTGAACTGAGTGTTCATGAAGATACAGAGCAAAACACAAAACACCTTGACTTTGTGCTCTGGAAGTGATACATGTTCTAAACATCTACTGAGTCCTTGCAAAGTGTCTTACAGAGCAAGGTCTGCAGCCACAGTGTTCAGCAGTGCATGTGCAGCTCAAGCTGAGACTATGAGAGGATTAGCAGCTCCAGTGCTGCAGCAATCCTTCAACAGGCACCTGCAAGAGCCCCAGGATTGAGTGAGTGCTGTACATGCATTCAGGAATGGAACCAAGTAGGCTTTGTCTTTATAAAAACACATTGCATATAATTAAAGCTTCTAAAGGCAGCTCAGGTATGCTGAAGATCTAGAAGTTCCTAGCTTTGTAGTGTTAGGTACAAACAAACAAAGCTCAAAGGAAACTCCTTGCTACTTTGTAGGGACTAACTGATAAGAACTGCAAAACTATGCAGTTCACAATCTTTGCCCTACTTGAAAAACTTGATGCAATCATACATGCCACCCAATAAACATGTCTCTGCACTTTATTATCCTTTGTGTAACATGATAATTCAAATTAAATCTCATCCTATCCCAAATTAGCAAGCAGGACTTTATAAAAATACAGTGCTTTAAAAACATATCAGCACATTATTAAAGTTATCACCGTATCAAAACCAGATCTTTTTAGAATTGTTTCATACACGGACTTTGTAATACCAAACAGACTCTTTCGGGCAGCTAAACACACACATTGCACTTCACTGCTGCTGAATTTCTCCTCTGAATAAATAAGACCAAGTTGATTATGTACATCAATCATCAAAAGATTTCCAACCCTCTCCCTTTATTTAGTATATATTTATATATTACCATTTATATATTACCATCATGACATTAAAGCAGTCATTTATTCGAGGTAGTACTTAAGTCATAAGCTGCAAGCCTCCATCTACAACCAGAACACTCCCTGTAACATATGAGGATTCTAGAAGAAAGGCAACAGCTTGTGCAACTTCATGAGGCTCTCCAAATCTTCCAAGGAGAATTGCTTTCTTCAACTGATCTTCTTCCAAATGAGCTGTCATCTCTGTGCGAATGAAGCCTACGAGCAGAGAGATATATGAAGTGTTACCTAACCTTTGACTAAATTTATCTAGTGGATTTCCCACTGAATCTTACAAAGTGAAGTCTATTACCAAGCTTCAGCACCAGCTACCATTCTTCAAAATCTCTCAAAGCAGCCCACATCACCTGATGGCCACAACCACTTTTTATCTAACCAATAAAATATCTTTCATTTTTGGAAGGAGTGATGCAATAATTAAAATGCAGAGATCTATAGAAGTCCATTTAAAAAAACCCAAAAACCAAACAACCAAACAAGAAAGGGTAACTAAAAGTCAATCCAAAAACTATATTTAGTATCATTTTTCTGAAACACAAAATGTACTTATTTCACCAAAATGTTCTCAACTAAAATATGAGCACAAAATATCTGGCAAGAAACCCTCTCAGATTTTAAAGTGTTTGCATTCCATTTTAGAACTGATGTCAGTGCTTGCACAGATTCTATTAGAGCACTCATTTGAAGAATATTTCTTGATATTTTTAAAGGACCTTTTCTAAAATTTTCCATTATCTGAGATTTGGCTTTCCCACTGCTGCACAACTCTACACACAAGCTGCAGCTTTATAAAGAGCTGATCTTACCTGCTTTCTAGCTGCCATCAAGAAGGGAAAGCTTCCCTTTTGCTTTCTACTGTAATACTCTGCCCCTTTATGATGGCTATGGATGAGCTGCTCAACTCACTAAAGAATAAAAGTATTCTTCCTGCCTAGTTCACAAGCTGAACAGTTTCATGTAGAATTCCGAAAGGCATCAGAGGTAGTAGAAGGTGAGCAGCAGTGTACACAGTTATCAGTGGAAAATTCAGAAAATACAGAAGGGATTTTTCCTTAAGGGTGGCAGTGTGCTTGAACTAGATCGTCTTATGAAATCACAGCCTTTACTCACAGAAATAACTTTGAGGACTCCTTCATTTTACTACAGGGAGACAGGGGTGCTTTTATGACAGCTTTCTCATGGTCTGTCATGTTTCCCTAATAACAAACAAGCATTCTCTACCTAGAGACAAGGGTAGCTCATTAGATCTACTCCTTGCATCTGCAAGGACAGCAAGTTTTGAAGGAGGACAAAAGGAAAAAAAAAGATATTTATTATGCAATAATGGATAGAGGAGTAGGTAGACTCACTCTTCCAGATTTCTCAGTGTTCCCTTAAAAAGACTGAACGTTTTCTAAAAGAATGTACTATGCATTACACACACAAACAAGAGATATTAAAAATATTTACTTACAAACTGAAGAAAATAATAGAAATTAGTCTTAAGTTACTTTCAGAGTACAAGAAATATCCACAGTCTTAATGAATTGCGACAGTCAAGGATGCAGGAATTCCTCAAAAACTAACCTGGAGCAACAACGTTGACTCGAATTTTCTTTTTTCCTACTTCTTTAGCAAGAGAGCGTGAAAATCCAACTAATCCTGCTTTGGTAGCGCTATACACACTTTGACCAGAGTTGCCTTTAAGTCCTACAACACTTCCTAAAATAAAGAAACATCAAAGAGAAGATTAAATGGGTAACTTGAAACATTGTACTAGCTTTATCATTTTAGTTTTAAACTTGGAATGAAAAATGAGATCCCAAGAAGAGTAAAATATGCATGACTTTATGCACTTTAGCCTGCTAGGATAAGCAAATCTCCCAACTAGCTGTGATTTTTGTACACTTCATGTATCTATGCTGACCAACAGGCACCAGGAGAGTAAAATGAACTCTTTTCTAAAAAGAAGTATCCTTGCCCAGATTAAATAAATCTGGGCAAGGACAAAAAGAAAGAAAGAAACTGACTGAACCTATTAATTCTTAGTTAATTTGGCAGCAGCTGGTATATGTAGATATTGAAAGAACTGGTTAAGAATAGCAAAGTTTCTTTTTTCAGTAAAATATAAACCCAGAGGTGTTTATTACTGGAAAAAAGCTATCTAGAAGTTGCTGAAATTACGCAAAAAATAAGCATTCATAAAGAAATGTTAAATATAGAGTGTCTAAATACAAGGAAAAGGAAAACAAGTAAATTGTAACACACAATGTAGTATGTTACACCTGCTAAACATTTCTACAAGACTAGCTCACAGAACACCACTGGCTTACACAAGCAACTTACCTATATTGACAATAGCACCTCCCTGCTGTTGAATCATGACCTTTACAGCAGCCTTGCATGTCAACATTGTTCCCAAAAGGTTAGTGTGAATCTGGGCTATCATATCTTCAGTCTTGGTTCTCAGTAGCAAACCATCCCTGACAAACAAACCAAAAAACCCCAAAGAATTCACTAAACACCCCCCTGATCATGTTTACTCATAAAAAAAGACTGTTGGACAGAATATTTTTAATGGGGGTGTATGTGGTTCCATACATTCAAGCATCCAAAATGACAACGCCGCAAGAACCACACATAGCAAAAAACAAGTTAGCCATGCTTCTGGACACAGCCTCCTTTGCAGAGTGGTATCAAACACTGTTTTGGACCACTCTGGGGGAAAAAGTGGAAGAAAGAATAGAGGGGGAAGTCAAACTCAGAATGCAGAAACTACAGTGAAAGCTGTATCATCTGTTAGCATTTTACTGCCATCGGGAACAAAATATTGGCCAGCACTTAATATTGTTTTCAGATGTGCTCATTAACAGCACCCTTACTAAGCACCAAGGGCCAGAGCACCTTACAGAGAGCTGCCTTCATCTAGAATTACCTTTAGTCTTGTAAGGAGTAACCAACCTGTTGATCCCAGCTGCATTAACCAAGTAGTTAATAGGACCCAAATTCCTCTGCATCTCCTCAAAAGTCTTTTGGACTTCTTGTTCACTGGATACATCACAGCTAAGTGCCAGATGTCCTGCTGTATTGAAATATATATAAAGTCACAATAAAAGCTGTAATTAATTCATAAACCTTCTTCAGAATGTATCAACACAATTACAAAACAGATGTTGAACTAGTTATAATTTAAGGAACCTATTTAATCCCCAGGCAATTACATAAAGACTATTTTCAAGTATTGTATTCATTAGTTATGTGATAATTCCTTGGTTTATATTTTTTGCCTTTTGAAGTCAGAAGTTCAGCATGAGCAGACTGGTCTCAGTTCCGGCTTGTTCAGGAGCTGAGGACGACTCAATTCACACCACCTCTATTGTGACCCCAAACAATTCCATTAATCTTAAAGTTCCAACCATGCAGATAAAAAAAGGTAATCTACTTTTTCAACTATTGCAAAAACACAATCCTACCAATATAGCTGTTTTTTAATATTTCTCAGCCTTTATTTTCCTTTCCATCTAGTTAAACAAGGAGGGGTTTTTAACAACTCGGTGTTTTCACAAGTCACCCAAGCACGGAGCAATGAGGAGATAGGTGCACAGCAGCATACGTACCACCAAGGCTACGGGCAGTGCTCTGGGCCACGTCCAGATTCCTAGCAATGATGGCCAGGCGGCAGCCCTTCCGCGCCAGGAGCTCTGCCACAGCTTTGCCTATCCCACGGGATCCTCCGAAAACAGCACAGACCTTGCCCATCTTCAAAATAATTCATAAATTGCAAATAAACCATCAACTTCATGTCCAGTAGAGCAAGACATTAACTGCTGTTCTTGTCAACATCACGGCCTTTACCTGTTTGTATCAGTTTGTAATAGCAGGTTACGAAATTAATTATTTGGATTTTATTCATTAATTTGTACTCATTTTTATTCAAAATAAACAGCTGAACTAAATTAGACACCACTTCTATGACTGAAAGTTAATTCTTAAATATTTCTGAACCAATAAAAAAAATTTTAAATCACGCACATAATCTAGCATCCCAATACTAGAGTCATGGTAACTCTTATTCAATTGATTATGTGATTTACGTACCTAAAGGCCATAATGTATTGTTCAGCTGCTCATTCAAAGCTGATTCACTGGTTGTAATTACATTGTTCTTGCAACCACTATTCTTGTGTTGAAGTCATTTACCCTCAAGGTCTCACTCCATCCAATGTGCTGGACACTGCAGTGCAAATGTTACTGAGTATGATTGGAAACTACTGTATTCGCACTGGTTTAATACTGTCAGACTGTGTTTTACCACTAGCCTGGGGTTTTTTGTTTCTGCTTCTGAGGGAAGAAAAAAAGCTTTATGAAATAGGAAATGATTCTGAAGTAGCTAGCTTTGATGTTTAGAATGGAGTACACAAAGAAAGTACTTCTGTAGAATGATCTTTTATCCTGCAAGCTCTAGAAATCAGCTGTTTGGGGATTTCCTGAGGAGCCAGAGACAGAATCCAAGCAATAACAATGAATCCTTTTTCCATACATTTGAATAAATCCTTTTTGAACCCAATTATACTGTCTTCATCCCGAGGCAACGAGTTTTATTATTTGTGGGTAACTACTTCCTTTAGTTCTTAATTTGCTTTCTGATTAGATAATTCTATGCATTTCTTCTCACACCTTCCCCTCACTGTTTAACTCTCCACCTGTATCCTCTCTCAGGTCGATTCAGTTACTCCTACACATATGGAAGCTATTCAATACCTCACTAAATAGTATCCGAGTCCTTAGACCTTACCCTCGGCCTCACTGAGGTCTATTAAACCCTTCCGGATGAACGACAACCAGAAAAGCACATGGTACTAAGTGTACCAGGCCACGACCAACTCATACAGTGGCACGGTAATTTTGGTCTTCTGTGAGAGTGAATAAGCAGAAGGTCTGTCCTTTTCCCTGAGTATTCACACGTGCCTGAAACCAACCCCAGTGTGTGCCTTCCCTGGCAAGTTCTCCGAGCAGAGACAGCCCCTTGTGCATTAGCTAGGCATTCACAGGTGGAGCACAGGGCCTACCTGCAACACAGTATTATGTACAATTTGTGCTTTAACAGAAAGGCCATACAGGCTCCAGGAGCTGTGACTTGAGAGGGAAAAGCTGCAGCAGGCGCAATGACCCGCTGTCCCCTGGATAAATAAAGGAAGGGAAAACCAGGTACACCTGGAGCAACAGGCACACGCAGGCACATCTATCGCCTTTGCTCTTCTTCCAGAGCCGAACTGTTTAACGCGTAACCCCGGGCCTCCATGGCACCACCCCACGGCGCTCGGCTGCCAGCACAAGGAGGGCACCTTTAAACAAGGGCCAGCGGGGCTCCCGGAGCCGTGTCCGGCCCGCCGCCTCCCTCCTTCCCGCCCCAGTGCGAGCGCCCGCCGGGGCGGGCTGCAGGCGGAGCCCTCAGCGCGGCCAGCGCCGCCCGCGGGGCACGCCGGGACGCGCAGCCCACGCTGCCACGGCGGCCGCTCCACGCTGTCCGTGCGCGTCCCCCCCCGCCCCGAGCCAGGCGCGGGCTGCGCGTCCCAGCTGTGCCCCGCCACGGGCACAGGAGCGGAACGCGAGGGCGCGTTCCACGAGCGCTCCGGTACCTCCCGGCCGCCGGCTCGCTGCCGCCACGGAGCGCGGTTCCCTCTCCGGGCAGGCCGGTCCCGCTCCGCGCGGAGCGCAGGCGTCACGGCGAGCGGCGTGACGTCACCGCCAGGGGCCGAGGGCGGCGGTAGAGGGAGCCGGGGCTGCGGGCCCGGCGTGGAGCTAAAGCTCTCAGTCCTGCCCTTGTGACCCCTTTCCTGAGCAAAAATGGGCTTCGTATATAGATACAAACAATTTGATGAATCAGGATTTTGTTCCTCTCATTTTCATGTATCCTTGCCCCAAAATCCCAAGGCATCTTGTGTGAGGCATCGCTGTACCAGAAGAGTTAAATTTCAAGCACGTTAAGGTAGATAAGCCCAAAATACAGAAGCATCTGTGGGAGCTCCTGTTCAGGAACCAAAGCAAACTTCATGATATGCAATTAAACTAATATTAAAAACTATTCAGTTACAACAGTAATGCTGTTTACAGTTACGATCTATGCCTGATGATGTGCTGGAGGGGTTTCTCTGTACTCAGTTAAGTCACACACACTAAGTAAATTTTACCCCCTAAGGAATACTAATAAAAGCTATGACAATTTTGTACATGAGTACACTTCAGATGGATTTCAGAAAATTTGTTGTTATTATTATTTTCCACAGAGTAACATGCTGAAATCCTACTGGAGTTTCTATGAGCAAGCGTACAGTTCTTGCTTTTGACTTGAAAGGTGTTTTTCAGAATTTCAGATTATATATGTTTCTGGGGAGAAAAGCATTTAACATTGGTTCTATGCATGTGGGATTCTTCTTCCACAGATTATTCCTTACACATAGAAAAGTCAGATTTAGGCATTGGCAAACAGTTGAATGTCTGTAAGAAAAATAAAATTTTGAAGAAAAGCTATTATGAGAATTAGTTTCTTTTAGCAAGCATATTTAGATTGCAAGCAGCTCTTTTCAAAAGAACTAATGAGATTTTGTGATACAATGACGTTTCAGATCATGCCATATTCTGAAAGCTTGGAGGTCCCAGTGATAAATAGAAAAGGCACTGACAGATGAGACTGTGACTCAGAATAGTCTCTTAACCAAACCTTCTGGTACCTGGCATAATTAAGGACCAGGATAGCTTTTTCTTCAAGTGAAGCTTACAAAGAAAAGTAACACAGAATGCAAAAAAATGGTCCTTAGTGATGTTTTCTGAAAATATGTATACTGCAGAGAAAATAAAGCCTGCCTGCTGCTGTCCTTATACAGTATGATGCTTATAGTTAAGTGAAAAAGAATATAAGTAATTATGACTTTACCTTATTTCTGACCTGTGTCCTTACCCATACAGCTGACCTACCCTTCTAAGAAAGATAAAGACTAATCTGACCTGTACTGTTAATATTTTGCTGACACGGAGTAAGCATGACTTTAGTGTGGGGGTTTTAAAGTGTGTTACAGCTGACAAAGTTAAATATCCTTTTCAAAAGTTCAGACAAGATTCTGTTTAATTCTTGCTCATTAACTTAATGTTTAAAACCAGATGTATATTCAGTGGCCAAAGTGACATTAGCCTTTTTTTTTTCCATATGCCTGGTTAAATTATGAGATCAGATTAAGCAGAGTTCATCTGAGCCAGATGAACATTCAAGCTAGTGGAGTGCAAGAGACAGATCAGTGTCATAATTATTACCTCCCCTTTTGGGGGAACAGTAGCTGATACAAGAACTTGATCTGATAGACCCGTTCCATCTATCATGACCAGATCTGTAACAGCTAGTTCAATACTGGTCATTATTATGCCTGGCTTACTGTTAATGTGAAAATATAGGCTAATAATTCTTCTATGTCTGTCTGTGTGTCCATGTATACACACACTTGGAATCTTTCCACAATATACAAAATGATGCAGCTGTCTTTCCTCAAGCCTAAGGCATTCAGGCATTAAAAATACTCTTCCTAAGAGAGTTATTTATTCCTTTCTTAAAATTTTTAGTCATTCTCCCACACAACTGAGAAACTGCTTTCAAGTAAGAATTTCTCTTATTAACATGGGAAAAAACAGAATAGTCTCAAACAGGAAAGGATATTTGATGTATCTGAAAGCACAAAACGCAAATCAGAGCAAAATAGAACAAAACAGGCCACTGTAACTGAGGTCCCTTCTATCAGGTATTTCAAATTCCTCCTGGGTTTTGATTTAAGGCAAGATTTACAGAGGAACTTGAGTCTAATCATTAACCACAGTGGTGCCTGAATCTGTGGCTTCTTATATTTCTGCCAAGAGTCACGCGTGAAAGACCAATGCTGCTCTAATGCCCAGCGGCATTTTCATACTGCTCCCTGTACTGCTTGTGAAAGTGTACCTCCCACACTACATGGGTTTTGTGTCAGGCCTGGGACAAAGCCACTGGAGGACTGGCTGCACATGTGCTCAGTCCTGTTGGAAACAAACACCTGCTGGTTGGAGCACTTGGCTCTGAGAAAAACTGCTTTCAAGTCTCCTCCCTTGCTGGAAACATGGTCGCTAACTTCAGTTTTTCACCCCCAAACAAGCTCATCATAGCCATCAGTCTGAAGTGGTTTCAGTTTATAGGAACAGAACAAAAAATTAAAGTGGGCCAAGGAGATTTGACACTTGAGCAAGATCATCACTGTCCGGAAATGTAAAACCTCGGGGATTAAGCATCAATTGAAATCAACATTCAAGAAACTATTTTGCTTTTGAACTGGCATATTAAAGATGACCTTGGCATGTATCTGGGATATAGGAGTCGTGGGCTTAGAACAGAATTAAGCCAGGGAAGAGCTTAAGATGTTTCCTTCTTGATAGCTCAGTGGCAGGTCACACAGTCAACACACTGCCATGCATTTCTTCCAGTAAAAAAAGGGGGTGTAACTGGACTAGGTGTCTCATTTTAGGTGAGCTCTCAGGGCTCCTCATTTTCCACTTTGCCTGGACAGCTCAGCACTGAGGCGGCTGTCTCTTTTTGTTCCCCTTTCTTCAGGAATGCATTTGTCATTTACCTTGGGAAAAATCCGGTCTAGTCACTAATTTTATACTTATATATATATATGCTATATACACACATATAAAATATATAAAGAACTAACAAGTTTTATGTTGCAGTTTCCAAATGTCTTTGATATGGCCTCAGCCTTCAAGGCAAGTGACACAAAGCTGAGATAAACTGCTGAGGAAAAATCCAACTGCCTTATTGTATGACAGAAGCACAACACCCCTCTCCTCCCAGTATTTTGCTACTTGGCAGAATTTTCTCAACCACAGCAGTTTAGACATTTAAGTGGTCAAATTGCCACACCCTTGCTCTTAAGTGATCTTTTTTTATGACACTGCAGTCTGTTTTGTTTTCCTAGACCATACAAAATCTCTGCAATATTTGTTCTTGTGTGATAACAATGAACTTTTATCATGCCAACATGAAATAGTTTTATACAGTTTAGGTATCTTTTAAAAAAATTGAAAACTTCTTCCTCTTAAGAAATTTCTTTCTGGTACCTCTTTGAAAAGTATAAAAGCTGTGTGAAAACTCTAAAAACAAAACACAGCACCAAAACCCAGAACAAAACAAAGCTATCAGAACCTTGGCAAATTACCTAAAGTTTTCATATCCTCCTGGCTAAACAGGTTTTGCCACTACGGCCAGGATTATTTCACACGTCAGCGTGAGGCCCATGTTTGAGTTAGCACGGTCACTGAACTGCTGCTGCTCCCAGTGAGCAGTCAGGCACACCAGGAAGGGAACAGAGAGGAACCTGTATTATTGCTGCTTCATCTGCTGCTAAAATGGAACACCTCACTTCCAGTGCTGCCCTGAGGCACCTGACACGTTAAAATAAAACAACCCCAACATCGCCCACCCCTGCAAAACTCTATTTGTCACACACTCGGCCTGCGTCCACAATTCCTGTCTGATCACAGACCCTGGACACTCCTAGTGTGTATCAGTGGACTTTGGACTAAAGAGATGGAATCTAGGATCTCAGCATGTCCTGAAATCTCGTACTTCCCATGCATCCCACTCATTATGTGTACCACAGAATGTATCCGTTTTTAGCTCCTAAGTCCCAAGCCAGGACTAGGAACAAGGAAGAAATAACAGCTCAGCCATCGAGGGAGTAAACTCACCACTTTCGACAGTTTTTCAAAACTACAAAGTGCATGACACAGATGAGTCACCATCTCCCAGCAAGGCAATCTGGAAAAGAGTCAAAGCTGATACCACCACGGAATGACATGTCACTCCCAGCAGTCTCCACTGACCATTTTGTATAGAAAGGATGGGGTTTTTTGTGTATTGCATATTTTATAAACATTAAGGATATCACTGAAAGTCTTGTGCAATAACATCCAAGAGTTTTGCAGAAGTATTTGAATACTCCAGAGTAAATAACTCTCCTCCTCTTCTCTTAGAGGCAATTTACTTTTAATTATACCTACAATACTCAAAATGAACTAGTTTTGGGAACAGCACTTAAAAATAGCTAAAAACCATTTATAAACATCTACTCAAGGTCTTGCATAATTTTCTTTTATTTTACATCTGTACATCCTTA